GGAAGATGGGAGGGGTAGGGGGAGGTGTTTTGAGATTTGATTGTGTTTCTCATTCCTCGACTCTGTTTTGCTTAGTAATAAATAAGATGAATTCCCTCTCTAAGTTCGGTCTGTTTTGCTCGTGACGATAATTAGTGAATGATCTCTCCCTGTCCTTATCTCGACCCACAAGCTTTTCATTGTACTTTTTCTCCCCTGTTTGGTGAACGAGGGGAGTGATAGAGTAGCTCTGGTGGGCACCTGGCCCCCAGCCAGGGTCAACCCACCACAGGTACAGGTAGTCAGAGTGCTGGAGGGAATAAGCAGACTGGAACCCACAGAGAGAGGCTACCCAAGAAACTGAGCTCTTGAATTTACTGAACAGTTTTGCAGGTTCTATCTTTGTGTCAGGGTTCATTTTCCTTGTAATTGGAAACTGTTATGGTGTGAATTTATCAAATAAGGCCCTTAAAAATCTAGAGAGGAAAGGAATTTATATTCTTAAATATAGTGATTGAAAAATCATTTGGTTATTGCCTGCTTTTCCATTCTGTAATTTGAGCATGAGAAATATGAGTTCATTTACATGTTTCCTAAACATGCAGGGAACTTATTGTAGCTGAGGCACAATTTGTTGGAATTCAAGAGGAATCCATGCAAAACAAAGCTCCTGTTAACGAGAATGAGGACAATCTTCTCTAGACTTTGTACAATCTTTGGATTTCTAGATATTTCGTAAAAAAGGTTATTACAGCTCTTCCTTAGAAGTACTTTCACTGATAAGTCCAACCAGAACTATGCTACAGTTCCTGATCACCTTAAGTTGCCTGTGGTCTAAAATGACTTTTCTATAAGAATTCTCGTGTCTCCAAGTGTAAACTTACGTGCCATTAAACTCATCTTTTGGCACAAAGAAATAATTTTTCCCAGCTTTTTACATAGGGAACAAAAAGGCTTGAATCCCAGTCAATTTTTCTGCTATTGGCAGTATTTCTAGTTAGTGATTAGGTATTCTAATTATAAACTCCATGTACTGGCTTGTGCAATGCTGGTTTTGATTGTTTTTATTGAGTCACCAAAAGCAGAGGTTTTAGAATGGAATTTTGCAGTAGTCTCTTCAGTGTACTCCAGTAAGAATTGATTTTCTGGAGGTCTTTGCCACGGTGCATGAAAATGACATTAATGTAGCTATTAAAATGAATGCATTAATGAAAACAGCAAAAAACCTCATACTATTGTAGCATGTATCTAATACCTCTATCACAAATGGCACCCAGTTGGGCAGTGCTTTGAGTTTACTGGAGGTGCTTATCCACCTCGCTGCTATGGAATGCAGAAGCTTATAGAAATCTGGCACAGTAGCAGGATTTTTCTGTTTGTTTTTTGTTGTGGAAGAGAATTTCCAGGTTAATATGGACATGGTCATGGTGCCAAGGGCTAATTTGATATTTTCAGCCAAATAGGCATGCTTCAGAATCCTTTGGAATATCCTGTGTAGATGAGTGACAGTATACCTCTGTCAAGGAGACATGTGAGTGACTAAGTTGAACGCACGAGGTCGACAGATACGTAATACTGAGGTGGCCTAACAGTGCTTCCAGATAGGTACGTAGCGATGCCTGTGCCAGCACTTGTGAAGATGGGTGGATCTTCTCCCGACGCTCTCATCACATTTAGCGTATTGGCAGTTCCGCATCTGTGCAGCAGAGTAGTACTAGATCAATTAGCCTGTGTATTAACACTAAAAACCAAACAACAGATTTGTTGTAGTTAAAGCTGTTAAGCTACAACTTAGAACAGCATGAGGACGCTTGCAGACTTGGCGTAAGTAGGAGCAACTTGATTCATTGGCACAGCTCTTACACTGGGTTGAATTGGGCTTGCAATGTTAACAATATGGGGAAAGGAAATCCTAGTATGAAGAGTCTTCTAAAGTGTGAAAGCTTCCTTTCGTAACTAATTCAGTGCTTTCTGGCATCTCCTCTGCAGTGTAGCCGTAACGTATCGATCAAAGGGGCTAGCCGCATCAGCATTTCACTGACATTTATGCTTGTATATTAGAATGAGGGTTTAAAAACGATCAAGTTCTGTGTAATGTCTGGGTAATAGAATGTAACTGTGATGGAATATCGCTGATGTGATTATTAGTAAAATGTTATTTTCATCTCTGGATGCGCATACTTGTCAGAATAAGTAAGGCAGGATATGTAATTAGAAAATGTAACTTTCCAGTGTGCTAAGAGGCAGAATATCTTGTCCTGTTCTGCAGTGTGAATGTTGGGTTATAAATGTCAAAGCAGCAGAATCTAGTTCTACATAGCTGCTGCATACATTAAAGATAAGAAAGTGTGTTTTAAAACACTGAAGTCAGTGGGATGATGTAGTCGTCTTCACTGGAAAGTTTCTTGTTTACAAATGTTTGAATATATTGAAAAAATGTGTTGCCCAGAAGCCCATCCCCTTACTATACTTCTGTTTGTTCTTTTCCTTTTCTGTTGTATCTTGTTTTTTCAGAGCACTACCATAGACTGTAAATTAACAGCAGCAGCAGCTGGAGATAAAAACTTTGACAAAAGCCCAACAAAAACAAGACAGCCTCGAAAAGTTGATCTGCGAGCTCGATACTGGGCATTTCTTTTTGACAATCTTAGACGGGCAGTTGATGAAATCTATGTTACATGTGAATCGGATCAGAGTGTAGTAGAATGCAAGGTAAGTCTTCTGTTTTCTGCCTGTTGCCACCCGACTCTTATCTTATTCTTTACAAAAAAGCCAAATGAGAAATTAGTCTCAGAAACATGTTACTTTTTGATTTGTACTTAGGGGAGGCTCGTAAATAGGAAAACCAATGGCATGTTTATTCAGATATCCAAAGATGCTTTCAGCTGAGGCAGTGACTAATTTTTGAAGTGTAAGAAATGTTATTAGGTCTCAGGTTTTTGATGAAATCAATTTTTGTTTAGTAAGTTCTGATTTTGTTAATTTTCTAACTGAACATTGATTTATTTTTTTTCCCCTGCAATGTTCTTTACTGTAGGTGGCACTGTTGTGATTCAGCCTTTTTCCCATTCATTTGCTTCCTATTAAGTGGCTTAATTATACATCGCTGCCTTTTTGCAGCGGTAGTTGCTGCTCTTCTCTCTGTGGCATTAGGAAAGTGGTGGTCAAGCGTAAACAATGTCTGGTTGGGAGTCACTGTAAGACAGTTTTCCTAATTTCAGATAACCTGTGTTTGTAATAAAATGTAAAACAGATGCACAAGGTATTACGATTTTCTAGTAGCTCTGTAGAAAGACCATTGTCATTTAATAAAAATCACTCATTCTTTAGAAATGGAATTTATTGCAAGAATTAAGAGAAATCAAAAGAATACATTTTAAAAGAAATGTTTAAAGATACACCTTCTGTTTTCATATTAAGCATGGCTGAAAACTCAACACATTCTGCAAATGATTATGTAATCACTAAAAAATTACATATATCAATTTAAGTAAACATTTTTCTTATCATATGCATCTAGTTCTCTGCTGTAATCAGACACGGCCAAATTGACTTTGAGATTAGCGTACAAATACATTTCATTGAAAGCAGGTTTGAAAACTGAACAGTAGCTAGAGGCTTGCAAATGGCTGGTTGGTCTAACACAATTTAACGTTTTGTTACCAAACTGTCTTCCTGCTCAGGAAACTTCTCTGGAGAATTTTTTGGTTTAAGAAAATCAGTCAGCCTTGCATTGTAATTAGATTAGCATTTTAAACTTTTGTGACTGAAAGAACAGAAGCGTATTTGTATCATTATCACATATTTGGGGGGTTAGATATCATTCAGCATTTTAATCGTGTTACTTGATCTGTTCTCGGATGGAGATAATACATAGCTTAAGTGAAAAGTCTTCATTTTAGTAGATGCTTGACAATGATGTATGTATCTGCATGTATCAGATTACTTGTTTGCAAAACAGGGGTGGAAGAAACCAAAAATGAGTAAACAGGGGAGTCCAATGTCAGGTGTTGTAAAACTTCCATAACATTCATGTTGCTTTTACCTTTTAAAAGATCTTTTCTTCTCAGCACAAAAAATGCCTTACCTGAGTAGCTGGAATATGTGTTTGTGCTATGGTCTTGTGTTTGTGAGATTTTCTCTTACAGGTTACTGTTAAATGATGATTATTACTCTTTTGATAAATTACTGATTTCTGTTAATTAAGCTATGAAGTATAGAACTATTGAGTCTTGCAAATTATTTGACTAATAATGTTTCACTTTTATCAATTCTATTGACTGTCGTTATTTATTTTGGAGTGGTTATTGTTGACAGATACAGTCCGGTTTCTACCAGAGGTGAAGTTGTCAATGTGTTCTAGCTAATCACAGCAGAATATCTTAGCTGCTATCTTTTGAAGTGAGTCCTTTACATAACTGTTAATAGATAGGATAGGCATGTAACATTTTTGGTACTACATACATAAGGCTTCAACTAGGGAGCGGTCAAACTCTTCTTACAAGTTGGTATATTTTATTGATTACGTTGTCACTGAAGACAATGTTTGATGCTCCCAAATCGGAAAGGGCTCTAGTGGCTGGTTGTGGTTGAAACTGCAGACGAAAGGGTTGTGGTAAGGATACAAACAGTGGAATTGTGTGTAAGAGGATCGGTGGTTGTGTATATTTTCTTTCAGCTTTAGGCGCTGCTGAAGTTGGTATTTTGCTATTGATTTGGAATGGAGAACTCTTGAATCATGTATATAGATATATAGGTACAGCTTTGCTGCTTCAGATATAGATAAAATGAACATAGTTGAATTATTTCTAAAATAAAGGGTTCTCAACTTTAAGCATCATCTTACTGTACGTAAATCAGTTTGTGCGGTAGTGATAGAGATTAGATATATTCTAATAGATTTGGCTATAACCTTCAACATTTCAAAAGGCAAATTGTATGTTCTATACATTAGCTAGGTTTCTGTGTGTCTAATGGTTATATGAATGTTTTACTACCTAATATTTTCTAGGTTTGGGTGACGAGCTTAGGCAGAAAAGAATTAGTAATGCCTTTAAATCTCTTTCTGTATGCTGAAAGGAATTAAGTTCAAAATTATTTGTGGATGGAGGAAGGCAGATCTGTAGTCAATTTTGGACAACAAAATTTTGGTTCATGCAACAGAGAAATGCATCTTCAGCTGCTATTCTTTTGCAGCCTTAGGTGTCTCAGCAACTGAGTTATATATATACACACACACACAGATATGTAAAATGAATTTTAAAAACCCACACCACATGCTTATATAAAGCTCTTATTGATAGCGTTTGAGCAACTGGATCCCGTACCTAAGGATACAGTAAGTCTACAAGAATCTCAAACTACTTTAAATTTAATCATTGGGTTTTTTTCCTCCTAGGATGAATTAATGGCTTCAGCTGTTTTTCCTTTCAACAAAGCTGACTTTTATTATCTAAAAATTTAGTCTATATTCTTTTTAAGTTGCTGTTTAGCATTAGTTAATGCTTGTACAAGCTTTTGTCTTTCCACCTAGCATTGCTTATTGGTATATTTCTATAAGGTTTTGGCAAGGGTAGTTTCTCTCCTTGTTTGTAAAGCTTACTGATACATTCATGAATCAGTCTACCTTGAGTATAGTTCAGTGAAAACAGTTTAATTCTGCTTGAGATTCTTATTCCCTCTTACGGAAAATTCAGCACTGAAGTTCTGTTCTGATTCTTACAGACAGCACAAGATACCCTAAAAAGGTGGGTAAAGCCTTTCCCTTAAAAGATTTGACATGTTCCATGATGTTGTTATGCAAAAGAACCAGCTGAAACAACTTTAGTTAAGGCCTTCCAATCAGGGTGATATCTATGAGAGGGTGTGAGTTGATTGAAGGCCTCCCAGAAGGAGAGAGGAACTCCATTAGTGTCTCTTCCGAAGAGCTGCTTGGGAGGGCTGCTTTTGGTTCCAGGTATGCTAATTCTGATGATTTCCATATATGCATGCAGACTGAGATCTGTGGTCATCCATGCTGATTACTGGCTTTAAAGACAGCCAGGAAAATAAAACTGTTGCTAAACATGTTGGAGCTGAAGGTAGAAAACCCAAGGTTTCCTAAGTTCCGTGTAAATGAAATCTACAATAATTCAGTGTAATGGTCAAGTTGATCCAAAGAGGATCTTGATCTTATTTTCACTGGTAAGAGCTAATTCAACCCTGTCCATTTCACTTTTTTGAGGCTAAGTTTCTTTTTGTTGTTGTTGCTGTTCTTCATGCTTTTCAGTTTTACAAATGTGAAAAGTACCCTGTTCCAGGGAGGGAAAAATACAGTTTGATACATAAGGCTTTTTGGAAGAGGTGATTGGTTGTATGTGAATTTTACTTCTTTCCTTGTAGTGCTACAAACCCTAAGTAAGAAAGGTATCTCAAGAAGGATTATAAAGTAACTTACTTCCTCAACATAGGGGTTAGGTGCATTATTCTTGTTCCAGTGTCTTGGATTTCTCTGGGTCTCTGAAAAAAAAAAAAAAAATCTTGGTTTTCCAAAGGAGTTAAAAATAAAAAAAAGAAGCCAAACTGCAAAATCTGTGTGTTTTAATTGTTTTATTCAGCATCTTTTGCTTTTTACACCTAAACTCTTTTAATTGCTAATTATTTCCCTACTAGAGTCCTCTATTAAGTGTATTTCTATCAATGTTGTAACCATTTTGAGCATTAACTTCATATCTTGTTGTACTCATGTCTTCATTCTTTGAACCTCTAGAACGTTGCCAGTTAGAAGGAGAATCTCAGCATGAAATGAACTCTATTCTGTATGATCGAATCTCTTTTTATTCAGTAAAACCAAGGTGATTAAGAGTTTCCCTGAAAGACTAAGCCAATGATTAATGTATTAGAACATGCATAATTCTTTTTCTGTGTTTCTCACAAGACACCCTTTGAGATCAATAGGGTTTCATGGAATATGTATTCAGATTGTTTGAGAAGGTCTAATTCTGCAGTTGGAATATGTCAGAAGTATACTAGACTGCCACTTACCACTCAGTTATAAAATATACACATCTTCTGTTTTGGAATTTGGAGTTATTTAGCAAGTGTATGTTTACGTCTGTTTTTAAATAGTCTGTGACTGTGTTGTGCCAGTCAATGCCAAGTGAAATCTTTTGCGAACGTTCCTCCTGCCTCTTTTTGGATATTTACATTTTCATTGTTGTCATCTTCCAGAGGTGACTCAAAATTGTTGAAGTCAACAGTGAAGGACAGGAAAATGGGGTAATGATCAGGCATTCAGTCTCACAGATGGAAATGGATGGGATCTTTCAGAATGGTAATCTATTCTAAAAAGCCAGTTACTGCAAAGCTGGCTTCTTTCCGAGTTGTCAGTCTGGATAATCCTATTCCTGCCTGTCCTTCCTTCGTATCATAGATATATATATATTTACATTTTCATTTTTTGTGTTAATAAATTGTGTGATTAAGTCCCTGCATGTGCTTTCTGACAGCTACATTCATTCTTATGGAGCAAATTGACTTTGGTAACGGTTATACTTCTCAGGAGCACGTCCTTGGCAGGTAGAGGATTACGACTGTCATGTGATATGTGAATCAGTGAGGAACAAACCGAGGCCAGGGATGGTGCATTTCACGGTTGGATCTAAGAGGACATGTGTCCCTGCATCTTTTGCTGTCTAGAGTTTGCTGCTTAGTGGCTTTTGCAGTGCTAGTGTGAGAGCATGTAAAATGTGTACCAGTCACGTGAGCTTTAGTTACTGGAAAATCTGGTTTTCTCCTCTCTGCATCTGTTTTAGAGTCTTTTCTTTTTACTGTTATCTGTCACGTACTGAAATTGGTATGATGAGAGCCCTTTGCTAGAGGAGCATCTTCCTTTCATCCTCTCCCAAAGTTGTAAGAACTGCTTTGCCAATCTTTTTTGTTTAACTTAACCCCAGAGCCGGCTTTAAGTGTTTGTAATTCAACTGTGTATGAAAAAGGCTACAAGGAATTTTTTGAAGCAATTTTTTTGTCAGATTAGTGAAACAGTTAAACTTTAAGAACATAAGTTGAAATAAAGAAAGAAGGAACTGAGGTTGCCTGCTAAAAATGTACTCCAGTACAATAAAATGGAGTTTGTGTTGGTAAATGCATAATCTAAAGTATTCAGTATAGATAATGAAACAATGTAAAGTATGCCTAGTTTGTAAAATAAAGCACACATTTCTAGCCTTGAGAATAAGCTGAAGTACAGATGTGGTGACCAAGTTAATTTCTATGATGTGCATTCTACTATTTTGATTTGTAGTGACCTTAAAATCCTACAATCTTCCATGTTTCCTTGGTTTTTTTCCCTCCTTGTTTGGGAGAATAAATGGAGAAGATGATGTTTCAAAGCCATTACGTGATTTCCAAACAAAGTGACCTTCTGTTTTTAAGGATTATAATGCGCCTGTCTAGGACCCAAGTCAAGATTGTCCTGATTCACGGAATACAGGATTATTCTGATGTAGCTACCCTGTGTATTAGAGATTTTTCTTGATTGCGATGTAATTAATCTGGTCACCCAATAGAAGAGGCTAGAAGTACAACTTGAAGATAAATACATGGAAACCAAAGTAACAATTGAGAGCTGGAGAAAAGAAGGAAAAGCACAAAAAGAGCTTTTTGACATGTGGAACTATTGATAATGATGGAGAGGAGAAAGAAACAGCTGTATTGTGAGTGGTTTTAGTTTTATGTCGCTGATTTTCCTTTAAGTGTTGTTTTTTAACAGTATTGCTTTCTTTTTTAGTTTGAACTGGCTCTTTAAAATCGTATGGGAGGGATATGACCTTGAAAAATAATGGGATTTAAAATTGTTTTGACTCTATTGCAGCCATAGTCTACCCCATAAAGGTTCCTTTTTGTCAGCACCTTCTCAAGTGGTACAAGTTTCCACTGCTTCAGCACCAGAGGGTATATCTGCTACACTCGGTACCGTAGGTGAGCTGGAGAGCTGTATTGATGTCCAAGACCCCAGAGCCCTGCACGCCAGTATTGTGTGTCAGTAGGACAAAGGGATGGCGCCAACCATCCTGCTGTATGCGCCAGTAACTAGAATTAATTACAAACCAATCGAATCCGTTGCAGCCAATTGGTAAACTAATTGGTAATTTTAGCTGTACATCTATATGTAGTTATCTGGATGCCTGTAACGGCGCTTTCAGAGCCACTTTTGTTCTGCTTCATCCTGCTTGACAAAATGGCCCTCATAGCTTTAGGGAGAAAGATGTGCATCAGTGAATATGGGGCCGCTCCAGCTGCTTGTCTTGTTTGTATTCCCTTGTTCGTAAAACATGACTCGGGTTACAGCTGCATGGTTCTGCTCTGATCATTTCTGATAATGTGTAGCTAAACATTCCTTAAAATAGGTTAAGCCATTTATTGTAATTTTTTTCCTGTGCCAACTAACTTCAGAAATATAACTCATATTCAGATTGATTCATTTTAATTTTTTTGGTGAGGACTATCTCAGTAGCAGACTTGAAAAGTAAATGATTCAGAATTAAATTTTGCCTTCTATGCTCTTATTGTTACTAACAGTCAGCACAGCTTAGTATGGGCTAACCTAAGTGGACGTGAATTGAATTAGAAAGCTGAAATTTTATTAGTGAAACTGAAAAAAGAACTGGCTAAAATACTTGACTTGTTCATTTCTTGTAGCAGACTTTACTTATGAATTATTTTGGTGCTGTAAACCAACTGCCTTGTAAGGAAGATTTTTGTTAGCTTTTTTGTGCAGTATTTCAAAACAAAGAGTAACTTTTACATCAGCAGTGGCATTCTGTTTGATTTCCCTTATGTTAGACGTTCTGGTGACTTTTCCCATCTAACAACCAGCATGTGCTCCGTCGTATGTACTAGTTAAAAGGATACTTACGTGAATGCTGAAGCTGAATTTCAGACTTGCATTTGTGTTAAAAAAAATGAATAACCATCCATATAATTTCATGTGAAGTATTTTGTGTACATTAGAGGTCCTTTTTCTATTAAAAGGACACTTAAAAGTAAAGATGAATGGCATATGAGGCTACAAAAATGTGCATTAGCTGTACTGTCATAGAGCGTTTTCAGTGTTAAAAGTTTTACTGTTAAAATTTGTAGTTATACACTTAATGACCAATACATTTGCATTTGTAATTGTTCCCAAAATATTTCTAAGTAATAACTACTTGCTTTGAACATAAAATTTCCCTTAATACCAGCGGGAATGATTTTGACATAGTAAAGAATTTGCAAACCAGGAACACTTTTTCATTAGTGTGTTTCCTTATACCATAAAACAATGTCTACATTTTAAACTCTGCACGTGAAGCTGATGTAAGTTTTCATAGAATTCAAGCTCGTTTATGGATTTTTATTATTTTCAGCATGTTGTCGTTATAGAATACAGTATACATTTGTCTTGTCTTTCAAAGAGTAGTTATGAAAGCTTCTATTTCTGATTGATGTGGTATCGAACCATCTCCTTTAGAAATGCATTAACGTGCTTTGCTGGGTGACAGTCAGCTCTGCCGAGAAGGTGCCTTATGCATGTTGGCTGTGATGGTCTGTGTGTTTTCGATCACTTTCAGTAAATGATTTTTGAGTTTATGTGTGGTATATAACTGATTTCCTAGCTTCCTGCATGGTTAAGAGTTGCTCCTTTGTCTTACCAGTGATGGTAGACAACTACAGTTTGTGGAGGGAACAAAACTAAGAGTTTAATCATACAGTTTTTTCCTCTGCTTTGCTGTGAAAAATTGACAGTATTGTCTGAGTAAAGACTGCAGGTTCCCAGGTTAACTTTTAATTTTTTGTTTCTGTCTGTCATCTGACCTTACTATAGTTACTACACTTGTACATTTGACCAAACTGGAAATCAGTAGGTACAGTCAATAATTTCTGAAAGTTAAGGATATTTTTATCAGAAACAAGTCTTTTAGTTCCGTACTGTTCAGCCACTGGCATTTTATCTATGAATTTCTGCCTTATGAAGTCAAGTTAATTTTATATGTCCTTTCATAAGTTAATTTTATTTGTTGGAGACCAACACATAATTTACAAGATTCTAACTTCTTAATCAAGATTTTGTAATATTTTGAATAAAACTCCAGTGCACCCACATCATTTCTGACAGCGTATGTTTAATCCTACCCAGAAATTATAGGATGTACTAGATTGCAATTAAGATTCCTCCCAGTTGTGTTATTTTATGATAATGTGTAAATCTTTCAAGACATAAAGTATGTTTGTGAATACAGCTTTCAGTGATTAATTCACATAAAAATGCTTAAATTCTTTGGCAACTCCATTTAGGTCAAAAGTAATTATTAAAATGGTAAAAAATTAATTGGTTTGTAATGGTCAAGAAGTATAATCTGGGTATTGGAGTTGTAAGGTCTGGACATGTAATTACTCCACAGACAAGAATGTGCAATTAGTGACTTTTTTTTTTTCATTTGTTAAAATGTGCTAATCAGGGAAGAGAATGTAAACTTTGCATCTTGCAGCTTAACTTGTTTATTTCTCAGTAAGTTTACGTCAGACACGATGATTTTATAAAACAAGTGTAATGCTGCAGTCTTTTATTTTTTTGCCTCTCAAAATACCACCATGACATTTTTTTTGATTAAAAACTACTTTATTAGTACAATAGTGCTGATAATCCCACGTGACAATAGAATGTCTGTTATTAATCTGGACGTGTACAAGCAGACATCCTTTCAAAGTTCTGCACGCTTGAAATTCCATAGGATCAGGGTACAGTTTGCTGAACTTCAGAGGCGTAAGAACTAATGCAGGGATGCCAGGATTCTCCAGAAAAAAAAAAAAAACTAATGTTTTTTTTCTAATGCAGGGATGCCAGGATTCTCCAGAAGGAATTCCCTCTGACGCAGTTGCCGTTGTGTAACTTTTGTATTTTTACTTCACAAACAGATTAATCGTGACATTTTTAGTCTCTCACACCGTCTATCAGGTTTTACAGACAGCTTTGCTTATTTATGAAGTACATCCAGCATATTTTAAGAGATAACTCTGACAAAAAATCCTGAAACAGTGATACTTATGTATGTTAGGAATTATTTTCTTGCCAAATTTTGCTATTTTGTCCTTGGACGTTGGTGCTCGCGGAGATCTTGGAAAATGTGCATGTTTTTTGACAGGATAAATGTTTTAATGTTTGTTCACATAAAAATCTGTCTGGGCATTTTTGTTTTCAGGGTTTTTGTTCCTTTTATTTTTTCATGAGTGCACTACAGACTAGTCAATTCTCTACTTTCTTTTCATTTCCTTTATTGGGGTGAGGGGATTGTATTTTAAATACAAAGGTTGATGTAATGTTTGCTTTTCAGGAAGTCCTGATGATGCTTGATAACTATGTAAGGGACTTCAAAGCATTGATTGACTGGATACAGCTACAGGAGAAGCTAGAAAAAGCTGATGCTCAAAGCAGGTAATTAGATTTCTATTTTTTTAGTCCACATCAAAATACTGTCTGATAGTAAACTTAATTTTGTAGCAGAGATTGAGCAAATAGAACCAATTTGAATATCTGCTCTGGGACATCAAGTAGGAAGTTTTCCTTTTGGACAGAATTGGTGTGAGGACATAGGGGAGATTTTATTGTCCCTGGCAATGTTACCAGTGAACAGCTCTGCAGGAAATGGTAAAGGGTTTGGAAGTATAGTATCAGAAAGGTAAAACTGATTACATCATTCTAATTTGTCCCTAGTGCTGAATTTGTGCCGTGGTGTCTAAGCTTTGAGAAGTAAATGAGAAGTAAGGTTTTGCTGGTATAATTTATGCCTTTAGAAGATGGGTGACCTGCAGTATGTGTGGAGTGATACGCTCAAGTTCTTCCATTTTCTTTTGTTAGGTAGCGAGTTCACTCATCTGCCTAGGTAGTGACAAAAAAAGTAGACCAAACGTGACTAAGTGGTTTTATTAGTTGATTATAGGTTGTCAATCCCGCCAGTAGTACTGGAACCAGTTAAAAAATAATTTATGTAAGTGCTTTTCTGCATCTGTCTTCATCAGCAGTGGAGTTTACTAGTTTGATTTTGTTTTTAATTGCCAGTTGTAATTTTCATGTAATCAGATAACTTCAGGATCAAGATTTAAAAATAAAAAAGAAAACAGCATCAGCTTCGATGACATACGTAATGAAACTGCTACCCTGGCTTCCGCCTCAAACTATGTCTGTTTGGATGAGAACATTTTATGTTAGTGGCAGTTAACTTAAATCAACCTGTTCAATTATCTTTGCAAGTACACATTTATCAGTACACGTTACTGCTGACAAAGTTGTATTTGGTTAGTTCTAAAGTTCATTTTTTTAATGTACTGAAGATATTTGATACCTGTATTAACCAAAGCGGCACTTAAACTGTATTGAATGCTCTGTTACACAGGATAGGAAAACCTAGGGTACCTTAAACGGTTATGGCCTTTTTATGTGCATTGTTACTGTCACTACAACTAGAGGATATTTCCAGTCCTACCCCTGATCTTTTAACTGGTTGGTTTGATATTTGGTCCCACGCTGACATTTAAAATAAGCATTGTAGTCTTGAGCGTATGCACTATTTTTGGTACGAGTCTGGCTAATACGGTTTGGAGTTGGTGTAGAAACAATTGCCAAGATGTACGATTAAATTCGGCAGTATTAATTACTACTTTATAGCGTTTGTCGGTGCTGTATTTCCTTTAAGGCAATAGAGGAGTAGTTATTGCGAATTTTATTTTTAAAGTTTTCTTTCCTGAATTTGCAGACCTACTTCATTAGCCTGGGAAGTAAAGAAGATGTCTCCAGGACGCCATGTGATTCCAAGTCCATCAACAGATAGAATTACTGTGACATCAAATGCTCGAAGAAGTTTAAATTTTGGGTAAGAAACCAGATCATAAGTTTATTAAAGCTAAAATAAGGATTCATTTGAAACAGAGTTCATGAATAAACTATTTTTCTATAGTAATCAATATATTGTTTTGCTGTTTATTAAGTCATATATGCAATTATTCATGTTCATGAAAGAAAAGTACATGGTCTGTAAAAGAAAATCCTATCAAGGACATTATTTTTTACTTACTCTGTTATATATTTAATTACCAAAGACCTGAAGATAAAATACAATTAGTGTATTTCATGCTATGTGTTTAATACTCTCTTCCCAGTACAAAATAAAGGTCAAAATGTTTGTAATTGGCATTTTAAAATTGCCAGAGTGTGCAATGTGAATGGCCAGCTGACCGTGCAAAAGTAAATACAGGTCAAAAAGAGTGAATGTGAAGTGTGATTATTATGATTCTGATGAATAGCAAAACTGATCCTGCTTTAAATATAGGGCATATTATATGCTACAATAAAGCATTTTTTATTTGTTAAAATGAAAATGGCTGTTTGAAAGCAGTTCAACAAAAATGTGCATAAACACCAGTTTAGAGCACCACTGTCTGGTGCTGTTTCAGTTCTGGACAGCACATATGTGGCCAATTTAAAGCTTTCTCAGGGTGTGTTTTTTAGTTCATTCAGGTTTGTTGGGATCTAGAGCAAATACCATCCTGTTTTGTAAGTGGTTACAATGTCCTCAGCAGAGATACAATATTAGAATATTTGGTCAGTACCTCTGAGTATTGAGCTCTTAAATTTTGAATATCAGATATTTTTACAAAAATACTACAAAGTGTATTTGGTGGAAAAATTGCTCCAATGGTGCTAGTCTCTGTGTAGATGTATGTGTTGATACCTACCTGACAACACTTGAGAGGTGTCTGCTTAAATGCATGTTGATGGGGAGAAAATAGGCACAAGTAGACAAATGAAAAAATTGAATCTGGTGGAAACCAACGCTCTTCTATTTTTATTAGAACACAACCAGCAGCTCAGCAGAACGATGTTCATCAGCTAAGCCTCTTTTTTTAATGTCATTACACGTGCTATTGTTGCTGGAGCTGTTTTATTCACCATCACAGGGAGATGATTAGCAACTGTGACTGTTAAAGCAGCTAATACCAAGATGAGTTTTCTGTCCTTCAGACTTGCAATATTTTTCTTCTGTCTTAGTCTGCTTTTGTGTCTCAAAGCAAGGCAACACCAGACAACTGCAATATTTTGTGTGTGAGAAAATAGGATAGAAAACAAGGGTCTAGAGATTCTTGGTGCTATGGAAATTTCTGGCAGAATGCTAGGAATTACTAGGAAAGGAATAGAGGACAGAAGAGAAGGTGGTGTTGTACCACTGTAGAAATTCATAGTGAATGACTCATACCTTTGGTCATCTTCATCTCTGCCCAAAACCAATGTAGACAAATTAGGGAAAGTACAGAAACTGGAAACGGGAACAATCAGAAGTATCCAACAGTATTGATGCAAAAAGAAAAGAATTTGGAGAAGAGGTCACAAGATGGATATGATAAATAAATTCACTTACAGAGAAGATGAGTTGGAAAATTTTGTTCATTTTTTTTTTTATGCAAAGGAATTTGGAGCACTAATTGAAATGCTCAGACACCAAGCTTAAAATGACAGACGTATTTTTCAAGACTTAGTATGTAGAATTTGTTATTACGTGATGCTTTGGATGCCAAAAGCATGAATTACTTCAGAAATTAATATCGCAAAATTAAAGTCCGTCTTTGGTTATTAGACACAAAGATGTGTTCAATAAATTACAACAACTTTTCAGGGTAAATTGCTGCTACCTGGAGAGTATCCCAAAGGAAAAATCCTTCTGTACTGCACAGTTCTGATAGTCCATTTGCTCAGGTGTATGGAACTGTCAGAGACAGAGTATGGGGCTTGGCCTCTTTTCCTGCTTTCCTCATGTGAAATGGTTTTGCATCCCTGTAGGATCAGTGAGGATTATTAAAAACAAACCCACCAATTGGCTGGGTTTTTATCATTTATGAAATTATTCCTGATAGGTTTTTTCGATGACTGACTTGATAAAAATAGGAAATAATGACAAATTGACATCTCACCAGGCTTAAAATAAGCAAACAGTCTAGTTATATGGGAGTTTTCTACATACTTGTTCGAAACTTGCAATATCTCCATTTCTTTATCCTTAGTTTGTTTTAGCAATGAGGCAGCTGGATTTCTTGGACTGTTTTAATCAGTGTTGTAAAGCTTGGAAGAGAAATCAGTTGTATGATTACAGATAAAATGACTCTTCTTACAGAAGAGAATTGGACACTTTTTGAACATGTGCTTCTGGAATGAATGCTACCATTTTCCAATTTAAAAAATTTTGCTTGCCTTCACTTAAAAAAAATACATTTTTTTTTTCTCTAAACCTTGTGCAGAAATGGCAACTTTTTACAAAAGGCAAAACAAAATAAAATTTAAAACCCACTACAGTTCTGTCCGTCCAGAAATGCAAAGTTTAAGCAGTCATTTGGATATTTCTGAGAGTTAATAGAATGCCCTTCTGGATTTACAATTTATTTTTGCTAAACAGATAATAGAAAATACATCTATTCTTTTATTTACTCAAGCTCGGAACAGAGTACCTTATGGATTTGTGTGATCTACATTTACAATGAAACCTGCACTTTTTTGAACTTTTTGCACATACACTTCGGTAGACTCCTCGTGTTAGTAATGGTTGCAGCCCATTCTGTACAGTTCATTGATGCGCTTGGGCAGGACCCAGGAAGATGCATTAGAAGAGCTGTTAGATTTGGCTCTAAATGCTCATCATGTGTTCGTTTCTATGATTTGAAAATTCAGTATCAGGGAATGTTTCTTATGGGAATTGTTTGTCTATCGCTACAGTGCTGCATATTTTGTCAGCCACTAGACATTTTTAAAATTTTTGAACTAGCTCTCAGTCTGAATCGGAGAGTGTCCTGATAAAGTTTTTTAACGAACCATTCTGTGATTTGATTAGACACTCAAAAGAGCTGTGACTTTCATTTAGGAACCCTGCAGTGACAATTTCTGCAACACGCCTGGCTCCTTCTGGTGTAAGTTGGGCGGATAAGGTGAAAGCTAATCATGGAAGTAAAGCTGCCAGTCCTGAGATAGCAACTTCACAAACCTGTCTGCCACCTCCAGTACAGAAGTCATCACGGAAAAATGGCAAGTCTTTTTAAGCTGCTTAAGTTATTTTCACTAACTGTATGGTATAAAATTAGTTCAGAGTGTGATGACCTATTGTCAAACCAAAATTAAGTATAATTTTGCAAAATAGAATATTTAAAGTAAGTATCACAATAAAAGATTAATGTAGCCATACATTATCATTATAGTAGTTAAGTTTGGGACAAAGTTGTGATTTCATGTGTAGGTAACAGTTCACTGTATTCCCACTAACTGGAATTTGATCTGTTAAAATGTATGTAACACCCCAAGAAACAAAAGTTCTTTGGTCACAAACTGCTAATCTAACTAACTGCAATTTAGAATGGTTTAACAATATAAAGAGTAATAGATGTCCAGGAATCTGTAAAAGAGCTCAAGATAGTTTTACGTGCCCGGGGAGATGATGTTACCAGAACTGTGCTGAAGTAACAATTGATGTTTTTTCACTGAACACAAGAATGACCGTATTCAGTTATGAATTGTTTCTCTGAAGATTCTCCTTGGTGAATGCTTGATGCTGGGGTCTTCCGTTCTAGAAAAGATTTGTTTAGTTGTGGACATAAAAAAACTTTACCTTTTGGTTTATAAAGTTAGGTTTTTTGCACACACTGGAACTCTGAGATTGTCTTCAGAGATGCATTTTTTCCATATATTTTTTTCATGTGTGGTCCCAGATGACATTCTGCAAAATCAGCAGGCAGGATGTGGAAATGGATATTCTAAAAACAAATTAAAAAGAAATGTTCATAATCTGTTTTTTTAAAAGAAAAATTACTGTAATAGAATATCAATGTAACATAGTTGCATGTTCAACCTATAGTAGTAGTAGAAGTCATGTATAGCGGTTTGGAGACTTGTGGTATATTGTGGAACTAAAATAACTTGTCCAAGTGTCTTTCAATTTAACATAAGTAAGCTCAGTAGTGTGCGGATTCTTCTGCTTAGAAAAGAACCATCAAAAGCATCCTCTAAAAGTGGTTGATTGAATGGGAATTAATTGATGCTGTTTGCATGAGGGAGTATCTTGCTGCATGTAGTTGCAATGAGCTGGTTAGAGAACGGTAGCAGTGTGGCTGAGTTTTCAGCACCGTAACTGAAGGTGTAAGTCACCTTTGAATTTTTGCCAGGAGTTGAAGCTATTCATAACAAACCCTTTTCTGTTAATTATCACTCATATTAAAGTGACAGACTCCAAGCTGTTGTTAAAATACCTTTGTTAGGGATTCTCGTGCATATGGAGAATTTTATTAGCTACACAGGGAATAAAACTGATCTGCGCTTCCATATGGATAACACTTTTAAGAGGCTAAAAGGGAAACAAAAGACCTTATCCTTACGTTAGTTTTAGGCGTTTAAATGGCTGAAGAGTCAGCGTTGTGCTGTATTTTATCAGCTGTTACCTGCAGCTGATGAGCTCCAAAAAGAGCGAAAACACTTAGGTCCTGTAGTACTGACCTAGGAGTGTTCAGTAATTTTCAAAATCAAATGTACTATACAATTCAGAATTGAAACACTTGATTTTAAGAAATAAGTCATTCCTTCTAGAGGCTTTGTTTATTCTTAAGAATCGCTTCTCTCTGACATTCAGCATAGGAGAATTTCAATGATTTTCTCGTGGCTGAATTGTAATGTTTCTAACAAATCAGATTCTCTTTAGAAGCATGTTTAGGAGCATCCTTTATATGGAGGCTAGAATCACTTTGGTAAAATCAAATTAACCTCACGGATTCTCTTGTGCTCCTGTCAGTGAAGTTTACGCAAAGGGAGTCACAAAGGCTCTTGGCATGCATTATTGAAGCAGATACGAGGCTTGTGTATCATCTGCTCTGCCTGTCCACCAGCTAATGCACTCACAGCTGTTGGTACATGCAGTCCTTGTGGGAGGGAGGATTCCTCCTGCCACCCTGTGATGCTCTCTGGCCCGCCCTGAAGCCCAGCTGGGCCTTACAGTGGCGCGATTTCCCTAAAACGCTTTTTTCTCCAGTGGTTTTCAACAGCATTATCATTAAGCCTGACAGTGTTTTTTGTGAAGTGGATGAGTGGTATAATATTGTATCTGTTTCATGGTTGATGGAATTTCCAAATTTAACTAAGTCAGTCCTTAGGGAGAGAGAAATGCATTATTTTTCCTGCCTGATATTTCTTTAAATTATTTTTTTCTGGATGCATAATTAGATCAGGTTAAATCATCTTACTTCATTTCCCTCATTAAACTCACTATTACTTCAATATTTTCATGAATTTTTTTTTAAAAATTGTCTTTCATGCTTGAGTATTTTCTACAATATGAAACCAGTTTATGGCAAGAGAAGATTGGCTTGGTAACAGTAGTACACAGAGACAACAGCCTAGCATAAAACTGATTCCCAGGCGCTGGTGGTAAGAGGTGAAATAGGTAATACAACTTTAGAGTGTGTATTAAGACAGGAAATTGGTGCTTACAATTAGAGTAATTGTTTATTGTTTGTACATAACTTAGGGGAAAGGGCAGTCAAGAACATGTAAACTCAGAAATAGCGAATGATTTTTTCTGTTGCCACACTTGAAATCTAGTCACATTAATTATTGTTATTAACTTTCCTGTATTAATTGCTCATGTCCATAGTTGTGAATAGGTGTTATTTGTAATGTAGCTAAGGCTTCAGACTTTGCGGGACGTACAGTTCTCTGAAGTAACTGTCCTGGTTTGGGTTCAGACGTGCTGGCACCTGATCTTAGTGGAATGCTGTGTAACTTCTGTGTATTAAGAACAAATTGCAGGAATGTCATCACAGACAGCAAAGGACAGTTTATTCCTGACTGGGTTGTTAAATTCTTAAGCACAATTTCTGTTGAAAATTTTACATTCAGTCTCTTTTTTTAGCTTTTTTTCTTTCCATTCTCATATATTTAAGTGACCATTAAAAGTAGTCTGACCATTAACATCTCTAATGTCTTGCCCGTTAACTCACCATCTCTTGTTATAGTTTGTAAGTTTACCACTTCTTGCACCACTACATTTTCTCTTTCTTTTTAATTTAATTTTAACTTTTATTTTATTTTATTTTATTTTTCTGGTTTTCATGTCTTCCGTCCTGTAACTGGGTTTCGACTGAGTTCATGTTTCTAGATTTGCTTCCGGATTGTCGAGTAATCATGGCTTTCCAGAGTGCCTCTCAGATATAGTAATACTACTTCAGATTTAAAAAAAAAAATTGGGGCTGAAGTTTAGTACTGAGTGGGAAAGGTCAGACAGGCTTTGGTAGTATATTACTTGCAGGTAAATTTGAAGACGGGACACGTGTCTCCTGAGGTAGAACTCCTAAGTTTTGCACATACTTGCCTAGATTTATTTTGTTGCTGTTGCCAGTAAGGCTGCTTGGCTGGTTCTTCCAGATGGACTAACTGCGAAAGAGTAAGGCCCTGGTGGCTGTGAGGGCCTCAGGAAAACAGATGGCGTGTCGCTTCCACGTAATACAAGAGCAAGCAGGGACAGGGAAGTTCAAATGAAACTAGAGAATGAGCAAGGTAGTCAAATGAATTATTCATTAGCAAAACTCAGGGAGTAATCAAATCCAGCATGTGATACTGAGCATGTGGAGATGGCTACTGGGCTGTATGAAAAGAATTCCAGACTTACAGGGCAAAAAGTGAAGGAAGGGAAGAAGGGTGACACCCTATTGAGTATTAACTTTGCTTCAGATTATGTGATCTCATGTCAATAAATGTATTAGCTTTGCAAACTTTTTGTTAAAAACATGCTTGGAAATGACTGAATACTAAACTGATAAGTGAATTAAAATGAAAAAGTAAATCCTTTTGCACAGCTCGTTGTCAGATGGCATAAAACTGCTAAACTGATTCCAAATATTTCAGCAGTCTGATAAAATAATTGAATAATAATTATGACTCTGACAGTGAACAAATACAAATTAAAAATTGAGTATGTATGGCTTTTACTAAAAGATTTGTTCTTGTTGTAGTAAGTGTGATTATGGCTTTGCCATGCTCTGAGTAATTCTGATTCCATCATTTTAGAGAAATCTGTCATGAAACAAGGAATCAATTAGGTAAGGCAGGCAAGAATTTTTAACATTTTTGTGTAGAAGTAACTTCAGTAGACTGTAGTAAACTTCAGTAGACACTAGTAAAAGATATTAGAAGATATTAGTACCATTATTATTGATAAATATATATAGAAGATTGAGTTATTATCTAGATGTTAGTAAAACTGTCTTTATGTAGTAGATACTACTAAAGGGCATCTCCTGATCTTTTTTAATGTAGAAAAGATGCTGTATGTAAGAGCTGACTTCAATTTTCGGAACAAGTAGAAGTGAACTCTTGCAACAATCTTGTTTCGCAAATGAGAAGCAAAAGGAGTCACAATCCAAAAGTCTGCTGCAGTAAAGCAGTGGAGGGTTTTTGGTGGATTTCAGCAGTCTTCTGAACAGTCTCTTCGTTGTCTGTATAATACTTGGCAGGGAAATTTCTTGGCCAAATTTTATCATAAGCTATACACAGCAAAATCTTTGTGGTCCTACCAATTACAGAAGTCACTGGGGTAGGAGGAGCTGTGATACACAAGGGGTCTAACCAGTCCTTGTTGTCCCATGTCATGCAGGGCCCTATTCTACAGAGGCTTTGTGCCTGGAGCTTTCTGCAGTCAATCTGTTTGTGATTCTTGTGCAATTAAAACCCCATTCCCTGGAGTATTGTCGGAGATATGGTTGTCTCTGAGAGGGTAATAACATGTTTCGATCACTTGGTCCTGTAGGTAATAATATTTTTTCCATAGAAAGATGAAGAAATGAAAATAAAGCCAAAGTCACTTACAGGGGTCAAATGGAAAGTCTGTGGTAAAGCAAAAAAATATAATCCTTATCTTTCTGACTGCCATTCCCCTCTCTAATCAGTGGTGCATACTGACGCATGTGCAAGTGCACATGGGGGAATGAACATAGAAAGGCTTTTTGCAGAGGTATGCTGTCTCTGGTTACTGTCAGTAATCTGAACAGATCAGCTATAGTCATTCATTCACATGAAGTTTTGGAATTTTGTTTACCTTAAAATATACAGTGAATTTTCTAGAGTAAAACAGTAAAGTATCAAATTGAATTATCTTTTTGTATCTGTCATATTATCAGTATAGTTAAGGTTAGTGAACAATTACATAGTTATGTAAAAAGAGCTATTGTACGAGCTGCTCAGCTAAGATAAATTTCGGTACGGTCCTGTTAACTTCACTGGTAACTCATGACTTACATCAGCCGTTGGTCTCAGCTGCTGCGTTTCAACCTGAGATGTTAAAAAAATCCAGTAGTTCAACGAGCACTTAATATTTGTAAAATGCTAGATGCCAAGGTATATAACAGGGTATGAAAGTGCCATTAGTTTCCAGTTTAGTGGTTACTGCTGACGTTGAACATCAGTTCAAGACCACCTAAAGGTAGTTTAGTCCAGTAGATACAACAGGTTTATCTTTTACGTAAAATAATCTTCATTTTTATTGGCAGTCCTACAACTGCCACTGCAGTGCTTTGTAGTATAGCACTTCTGCTGAAAGTGTTGGTACCGGAATTTCTGTACATGTGTTAGAGTTGCCAGAAACACATGCCTGGGAGGGAAATTTAAAAAGACTCAAGGATTTTTGACCATGAAAATTAATGTTAAGACAGGTCCTTTATATGTACTGTAAATTGCTTTTAAAAAAGTACATGTTCTGAAAGGAAGAAAAAAATATTTTGTTCTCTCATCTCCCTATGGGTGTGTTGACCTGCATATAGATGTTACTGGCAGTCCATAAAGATGGTTCATTTCTTGTAACCTAACCATCACGTGTTCCTAGTGAAAGCACGTGGTATTTTTAGAGAGCATAACGCTTTTATCGTATATTTTTAAAACTACTTTGTATTTTGCTTTTAAAAATCAAATCTCTGGAAATGCAAGTTTTAAGCCAGTCTTTAAGTTGGTAATGTGCAATTCATCATAATATACAAATCATTCCGTTTTCTCACCACCCTTGGGTGTTTCAGATTACATTTTTTGACAACCAAGTAGACTCATATTTAATCCTATTCATATTTATGTTAAACTTTAATGTTTGAGCTCTGATCTTCATGTCTGAGCTACAGGACCATCTTTGTTAGTAAAAGCTTTAGAAATACCCAGAGAATTAAATTTTTTATATGAGTTCTATTCTAGATTTTTTTCCCCTCTGTAAAGCAGGCAATTTAGTGTTCCTTTTTTGATTTTGTACTCCTCCAGGTAATAAATAACCTCCCACACCCTTCTCTTCCTTTTATGTGAATGATCCTAGAAATAGTTTATGTCAAAAGTATCTTGGAAAATATTGTGCATAGTTAGTTCTTGAGTTTTTTGCAAGAACTTTTGTTTGGCAAATAGATGCACATGAGTTTATCTTTCCCGCTTGTGAGTTGTACCATCAGGTCTCAAAAGAATCACAGTCATTTCAAGATGTATGGGAAACGATGTGCTGGTATTAGTTGCTGGCCACAAAAATGCTATATATGGAGGAGGAGGTTCACCTTGATAGTCTAGAAATCTGATCACACTTAAGACCTGATACTTTAGGCAGACAAATGTAACTTTGAAGGCTTTTCAGGTATGTACCTAGATTAGATATCAGAAATGTTGATTGGCAAGTTGTATTTAACAGCTATTTACTCATCAAAGTAAATTGAAGAAAACTACTCTTCTATTTTCTCTGTCAATTTGCAGTCCCACTGTAGCAATATTTTGCTATTTCCTGGAATCCAGGAAAAGACGTTTTCCAAAAGCTGACACTGATTAGTGTATTTTTATTATCAGGATAGAACAAATGGAAAAAGTAAAGAAAACTATTCTGGAGGAATAATAAACCACATTCTGGACAACGCTTGCCAGGCTCAGAAGTGCAATTATATCTGTACTTGCAGAGATTTGCACTTTCACAAAAGACCTTTAAGGTTACTGTTACTACAAAGAACAACAAGAGTGTGATTGCTTTGTTGTGCTTTACCATCTCGTGAAACAGCAACATAGGCCTGAAAAGCTTAAGTACATGTAGCCGTTTTTCACGTGGTTTTGTGTAGGATTAGCTTAGCTTCTTGAAGTAAGAGAACTGGTCCCATGAATACACTTGTTCAGTGTTTTTTGAAACTGATAGCGCTCCTTGAAGTAAAAAGCTTTGCTAAAGAATATTTAATTGATTTTTTGGGTATTGATTTTTAATGAACACTTTTATCATACAACTTGTGTAATACTGTAATAAAATAGTTGTTTATAATACTTCTACTTGTAAGTCTCCCTTTCTTAGAATGGGATGTTTTATTTTTTATGTAGATCGAAAGGATGCAGAGGGCTGGGAAACAGTTCAGCGTGGAAGGCCTGTTCGGTCTCGATCCACAGCTTTGGCAACAAAAACTCCTGTAGCTGCAGAATCGGTAAAGTCCAAAGGTGACAGTGATAAAGAAAATGTCATTTCACCACCATCAGAGAATAAGCGTGGGAGTTTGCTCCCTGACAGTGGTGCATCCAGAAGCACGGGGCTTGTACAGAAAGATCCTTTACATCAGTCTGAAGATCCTCTTACAGAAAGGACTCAGGTCAGTACAATTTTGAACCATTTTCTAACCTTAAATCTTGCAACTTTTTCTTTAGAGCATTTTCTAAAGGTAGTGTTGTCTAGACCTTTTATTTGCTAATCAGATTGAAAAAGGATTTTAAAATAATGGCTATTTCAGTTACATTTATGGAAACGCATTAAGGTATTGGCACAAACAGGCAAGTTAAAAATAATAAGATGAACCATGAATTTTACAATGCTGTGGACAGGTTTCCCACGTTTTCCAAAAGCTCAGCATTAGGCACACCCCATACATAGAAGATTTCTGGTAGAAAGACCCAATTTTCGCAAGGGTATTAGCAACGGAAATATACGTGGAATTATTTGCATCACTCACTGTAAGGTTACCAGGTATTTTGTTAAAATCCTTTTGACTCTAGTGACTTTAAAAATCAGTATGTTAGGTTTTGTTAATTTTGCAAATGTCTCTTATTAGTTAACAGCATACGCCTCAGAAGACAATGGGAGCACTGGCACGCCATTGCAAGAAGATTCCTTGCAAACAGTCTCTGAGATGCCTGCAGTTTTCACAAATACTGAGTGTACTTCAAAAACTCCGCAGATTAATGAAGCTTCCTCACTGACCACTGATAGTATAGACCGGCATGACACAGAAAAAGCTAAAACTGAAACTGAAATGGATCCCACAGATATTTCAAATGTGAGTGCTGCCAGATTGGTAAGAAATCTTATAAGATTTCTGAGTAAATAATAAGTATAAGCCTTAATTGTCTCATTCTGTGTTGCACAGCGTTTATTGTTAGCCTGCTGTAGAAACTGTAGAAAAGTCTATAAGATACTTGCTGTAGAAACTGTAGAAAAGTCTGTAAGATACTTACTGTAGAAAAAAGTAATTTGTTGCACAGATACTTTTCATGATAGGATTTAATTCCAGCAATGTTTCTGAACTTAAACTAGGAAGATACAAAAGTGTTATTTGGAATAGAGATCTGTGCTCTCATGACCTTTTTTACATATATGTTTGCCATAACTTTTCATTTCCTTCCACTATCAATCATTTTAAGTCAGACTCATTAAATTCTTACTCTGATTTTGCTAATTATTCAAACTGGAGACACATGGGATATCAAAATTCTGTTAGAAACAAATGCTGACCTCTGCCTTTTGAGCCTAGCTGAGCTGCTCTCTTGGGTCTTCCAGTACAACTAGCCATTTGGTCAAGTGCCATTCTTAAGGAACAAACGTGAAGTCCGTATTCTGTGTTTATGTGGCTTCCTAAAAAGAATGTCCTTTCTTGTCTGTAGAATTCTGCAGGTTTCAAGGTGTGTCTGCTTTACTGGAATTCTCTGAGAATTGTAGTAATGCTATGTAAATTCCAGGTTATACTCTCAGTTTATGTTTTGGTTTTTTTCAGAAACTAGATTAACATTCTTTTTTGCAGAAATTTTCCTGCAAATCGCTTTCCCTTTAACATCTTTTACAAACTGGACTCCTGCTAGGTAATTTCCAAGTCAGGTATCTGTTTGGTTTTAGAGCTGATTTCTAGCATCTCATCCACTAACACTGTTTCAGATTCTCAATTATTAACCATTCAGGACGCTGACAGTTTGGTGGGATCTGTGTCTCTTGTGAGCAGTTCACTACTCCTGATCAGATTGCTTTGAACACTGATTTGTGGCACACTGTTCGGTAGCTGAGTGGAAATGAACCAGTTGATACTGGACATTAGAGAAGACGACAATCAGTCAGCGTATTCAGGCTTACATTCTTGCCTAATTATCTTGTCGTTCATGTTGAAAAACAAGTACAGCCTGAGATTCCCTTGTATTAACCACGGTAAAGTTTCCACACACAGTTCATCTGCAGATCCATTTTCATCTTTAAATAATACTTTGGAACGTGATTCCTTTTCCGGAGATAACAACAGGGTGTGCCATTAATGTTTCAGAGTATATTTCAGTTGCTTAGTCCCTAAGACTAGGTATTTAAAAGAATAATTAGAGAATAATTGTCTTTGTTGCTTTTAATTGACAGTGTTTGTGTAATACATTTTGGAATGATGTGAATGATAATTAATTTCGTAAGTGTTTTGCGTAGCTATTAAATGAGTTAATAGTTGCTAACAGTTTTAGTGACATTTATATTTCAGTTACCTTCACAAAATATAGCAGTGAAGGAACTACAAGTAATTAAAAGTTGAAAAAAAAAAATCTTATAATTCATGTTAGCTATATGGAAACCACTTTTTTTGTGCCTGCTACTGATTTTGGTTTTGGGGTTTTTTTTCTGGTTTCATGTTTCCTACAGTCTATGGCAGAAGTCCTTGCTAAGAAAGAAGAGTTAGCAGATCGCCTAGAAAAGGCAAATGAAGAAGCCATTGCTAGTGCTATTGCAGAAGAAGAGCAATTAACTAGAGAGATCGAAGCAGAGGAAAACAATGACATTAATATTGAGACTGACAATGATAGCGATTTCTCTGTGAGTGTTCAATTTATTTTAAAGTACCCAGCTTCAAGCTGGTTTTGATGTCAGCAGAGTATAAATACAGAATTTGTGCTCACTTTTGCGTTAATGCAACCTGTTTTCCATGCAAATAAAGTAAACAGTGTCATGTAATAATTAGACCATACTGTCTAAGGTATATTTAGTCTTACTGAACTCAGCAGCACAGTGCTGCGGAGCAGTACAAAAGCCTCTGATGTTGCAGTCGTTGTCTTGCTGCCTCTTTTTGTGTGTGGAACTGGGAGAGCTGGGACTTATTTTCATTGCTACCACACAGGAGCTACTCTACGTGAAGCAGAAGTTTCCATTTCTACTATCAGAAACAGCATCTGTCTTTGAGATGGCTAATTCAGTTTGGAAACATTGCTGAATATCGCTGAGTTGCCACTGTTTAATATGTGCGTGCACCTGCGCGTTAAGGTTTATGTTTTTACTGACCGGATCATATTAAATTTTAGGCTAGTATGGGCAATGGGAGCATATCTTTCTGTGGTATATCTATGGACTGGAATGATGTCCTGGCAGATTATGAAGGTAAGTTTTCATATATTACTGTGCTTATGTTGAAATGACAGCAAAATTTAGAAAAACGCTCATTTTACTCATGGCTAGTTAAGGTTTCAGAAGAGACACCTAACATCTAAATACTATGATGTTGGTGTTTTTTATGTCTTTTCCTTAGACAAACTTGTGTGTTCAAACTATCTCAGTGTGTCTTTGTTCTTCAGCTCTCTTCCCCCATCTCTCTGTTAGACTTTTAAAGTTTGTTATCCAGTTTTATCTTAATTTTTGGATACACGTCTAATAACATTATTAAGCATTGAAAATGCACAGGGGTTAGAGATATGTCAGTCTGTGTTTGCACCTTACTTAGACTCAAGAGAACCCATTGGAGAGAGAACTTCAAGAGGATCTAAGTCTCATTAATTATGCTTCTCCCAGAAAAGTGTGTTTAAATTATTGAAGTCTTTGTTTTCTTTATGTGTAGCTCGTGAATCGTGGCGCCAGAGTAATTCTTGGGGAGACAGAGTGGAAGAAGAGCCTGCACGTCCACCTGGACATGGAATACACATGCATGAGAAACTGTCGTCACCGTCACGCAAAAGGTTTTAGAGTTGTTACCTGTCTTGAGTAGCCAGTGAAAACAAGCAACCAAACTCATGGCTGTATGAAACTTCGTAAAGCTACTTTCTTTAAGTCTGTGGGTGGAAAGTGTTACAGAAATCCAGTATTTTATTTTCATAATGAACTAGCCTTGTGCTACGTTGTCCAGTAGATAAAGATTTGAAGACGAGAAGAACAATATTTACTTTTAAGGGTAGTAGTTGCCCTCCAGTAGCCTGTTCATTTTCTCTTACTGAAGATGACATAGAAATGTTTGCAACACTGTCACTTAATGTTGTCTCGCTTGCTTTTGCTCTGCTTTGTTTTTTTGTTAAAAGAACAATAGCAGAATCCAAAAAGAAACATGAAGAGAAACAAATGAAAGCTCAACAGCTGAGAGAAAAGTTACGTGAAGAGAAGACACTGAAGCTTCAAAAATTAATGGAGAGGGTAAGGTTTCTGTAATACAAAGGAGCCAGTCTGCTGCCTTTCAGAAAAGTTTTTTTCCCCACATAGTCTAGAAATATTACAGATTAAAACTAGCAGTGAAGTGAAATTTTCCTCTGTGAGTTCACATAGACGACTCATGCGTTACAGATACTAAAGAAAGCATTATTTCAAATCATGAAGTTCTGTGAGAGTGTTGCTGACATACTATACTGACTCAGGTTCAGGAAAGGCATGGTAAAAGTTGAATTGTGTTGCGTGAATCCAACATAAATGCTAAATCTCGCTAAACTGAAGATTCAGGCCCTACTTTCAGTTACTGTATTAGTAATGCATTTACTCATATATAGGAGAAGGATGTGCGGAAATGGAAAGAAGAATTATTAGATCAAAGACGCAGGATGATGGAAGAAAAATTACTGCATGCAGAATTTAAACGTGAAGTGCAGCTACAAGCAATTGTGAAAAAAGCACAAGAAGAAGAAGCTAAGGTAAGTTATTTTGTTTTAAAGGGGAACTGTTGAAGAGTTACGCTCGTATATGTTTTGTCCTTCAGAGTGCTTATGAGTAGGTTGTGAAGGATGGTGCAAGTTAAGATAGGAACACACGAACCATGAAGTGGATAAATGCCAATCTCTAAAAGGGATAATTTTTCTCTAAAATGAATTTAAAATTAATTAGCTGTTATTAGACATCATGGTGTGTTGAACTAGAAGATGGGTTGAAATAAAGAGCTGATAATTGTCTTGCTGCTTTTGTTCCTCACAAAGAGTACGGCAGCATTTTTGGTGATAACTAGTGCTTCTGGAAGGAATAGAAGATCTGATTATCAATTTTCTGCTTTCTGGCATGTAGAAGTGAGGAGAGCTCATTGCTCTTCTCCTGTGTTAAACATCCTTTCTAGATCCAGCATTCTGTCACCTTAAACAAGGGTTCCGTTGCTGTGTTTTGCACCACTAATATTGTTAAGCAGTTGGAAGTAAAGAGAAACTTATAGTTAGCACATGGCAGTTACTCTAAAATAAATATTTTGTTAGTGTTCTTCTGCCTTTAATACCAATTTCCTAAGGTGAGCACTAGATGAATGCTTTTTGGTTTATCTTATTCATATTACTTGGACAAACATTGTGGTGGTTTAACCCCAGCTGGCAACTAGGCACCACACAGCCGCTTGCTGACTTCCTTCACCGTGGGATGGGGGAGAGAATTGGAAGCGTAAAAATGAGAAAACTTGTGGGTTGAGATAAAACCAGTTTTAATAATTGAAAACAAAATTGTAATGAAAAGGAAACTAACAAAGAGAGAAATAAACCCCAAGAGACACAAGTGATGCAAATGAAAACAATCGCTCACCAGCAACTGACCAATGCTAGCCAGTCCCTGAGCAGCGGCTATCCCACCAGCCTTCCCCCAGTTTTATTGCTGAGCATGATGTCATATGGTATGGAATATCCCTTTGGTCATTGGGGTCAGCTCCTCCAAATCCTTGTGCACTCCCAGCCTACTTGATGGAGGGGCGGGGATGAGGACCAGAAAAGACCTTGGCTCTGTATAAGCACTGCTCAGTAGGAAGAAAAACGTCTCTGTGTTATCAACACTGTTTTCAGCATAAATCCAAACCACATTCCCGTACTAGCTACCGTGAAGAAAATTAACTCAATCCCAGCCAAAACCAGCACAACATAAATGAAATATTTTAAAGACTGTTTTTCACAAGTAAGGATACATGCATCTCCTTAAAACTAAACTGTTGTGTTGTATAATGAGCGTGTATCCCAGCTGTGATTGATGCAGCTGTTCATCTGTATTATTTAAGATAAGCACAACAGAACTGATTTAGCTTTTTTACTTAGTTACTCTTTCTGTCTCTTGGATTAAAATGATTTCTAGATTACCTAATTCAGTCTAACATACCTTCATTATTATTTCATTACACCGGTGTGACTTCTATAATCATATTAACTAAATCACACTTGCCATAATTCCCCAGCTAAGCAGATGTTTCAAGTATTGTGTGTGTTTAGATGTGTAAGATCTGCTGCCTCTTGAGGTTCTTGTGTTCTGGAAATAAAGATGAATTGGGCCAGAAGGCTTGAGAGAAATAGCTGATGGGTAGTATTGCTGAAGACCATGGTAACTGTTGCTTCCCAGTTGGTTGTCTGAATTCCCAGTGCTTAGTTGTTTACTGACCTGTGAAATCCATTCTGTAAATGAATTCTAGTCAGTAAAGAAAGCAACAACAATATCCTTCCACCCTTTACGTGATCCGTTGTTGTCTGTCGATGTATCTTCTCTTTAGTCTTTTATTTTGTGGATTCAGAGCATGAACTTTGAGTACAGCAAAAGAATTTCTGTTTCAGTCATAGTTTTGAGTATGGTTTATAGCTGATAATTTTTTATTATTTTCATCAATAACTTTGATTCTAAAATTTTTATTTTAAATCTAGGTTAAGTTAAATAAGAGTTTGATTTTTTTCCCCGTACATATAAATTTCTAAAGCGAGCATTTGCATTTAAAAGCCTAAAGTTGACAAGAATTTTGTTCAGCAACCTTGTAGCAAGGACAAAATATTGATTACCTTCATCAACCTAAGTAGTAGAAAAACATATTCTTTGATGGTTTTATTCACATTAAATTTCTTTCAAGTTAACCTTTTCATATTATTTTCTTTTTTTATTCTTGTGTATGGCACTGTCCTGCAGTTGGGGAAAAAAAAAAAGTTTGTGAAATAGGCTATACCGATAAGAAAGATGAAGACAATGAGCTTGTTAATTTTTTTTTTTCCTTATTTATAGCATGTATAGTTTCACTTTTTTAATCAGCAAGTATGCATATATTTAAAGTTAGATCAAGAGATCCGTTGGATTCTGCTAGCACTTACGTATTTTACTGATTTGTCCAGCTGGGTCATAGGATTCCTCATTTTGTGAATGAGAGAATAGACTAATGAAGTCTTGTTGCTGAGAAAACTGGAAAGATTTTCCTGGTATTTACTCAAAATTTCTTGTTTTTCTGATACAATTCAATTTCTCTCATTTATATTCCATGGGCTATTCTGTTTAAAAACGAAACTAAAGCAAAAAAACACACACACCCCCCCAAACTCCAAAACAAACAAAAAAACCCAACAAAACCCCAAAGCCTTATTCTCAACTTGGTAGTTTTCCAACCCATTCTGGAGAAATGTCCCACCAGTTTAATTATCAAATGAATAGTTAACAAATGGATGGAATTCCCTAAGAATGAAACTTATTTCAGCTTCTCAGATCTTGTCTTATACTTTCTGATTATTTACAGGTAAATGAAATTGCATTTATAAACACCTTAGAAGCTCAGAACAAACGTCATGATGTGTTGAATAAACTAAAAGAGTATGAACAACGCTTAAATGAATTACAAGAAGAGCGCCAACGAAGACAAGAGGAAAAACAAGCACGTGATGAAGCGGTTACTGCAGTTGTAGGGGGACAATGAAATATGTATTTGGTTTTCATTTTGGCTATGCAGTCTTTGTTGCTTACTGTCTTACCCCCTTTATTCAACTTATACTCTAATATGATTCTTCTTTATAATGTTTTCATAGGTAAGAGGGAGAAAGGTGAGTCTTAAAACCTCTCTAGCAGAGGTATTACAGATGCTGTGTAGGTGATTCATGTCTGTCTTAAGCTTTTTTAAAAAAATACTTGCTACTCCATTAGTAACACTTAAAACTTTGAAAGAAGACACAGAAGAATATTCCTTATTGTATGTGTACTGTCATCATTACAATACTTTTTACAGGATCAGTGAAAACCACAATGCAAATGTGTTTGTGTTCCTGGAGTCGTGGTGTGGGTTGGTTTCTTTTGGTTTTTGTTGTGGGTTTTTTTCTTTTTTAATACAGCATTCCAATACTAAGTTTTCCCAGCCTCACACATATGCTTTTTTTGGCACTGTTCTCTGTTAGAATCTAAAGCATGCTTTATTTTTACACTTGTTGCTGATAGAAGTATAGTCATTCTGTCAGCCAGGTTTACAATACCATGTATAGTTTCTTAATTAGTCAGAAAAAAGTAAAAATTGAGTACTGAGTATATTCAGTGGTAGTGCAAAAATGGTCAAAATCTGTTTTGTTTTATAGTATCAGTCAGTTTCAGAATCGTAGTTTAAATACTAATGTTTCATGGGACCACATGTTATTTCTGTCACCTGTATCCTGTGGGATGCTTAAAATGTTTTGAAATACATTAATGAACTAGTTTTATAAGCTTTTATAGTGGATAGACTTTTTCAGGATGAGCAAAATATATGGCCAATTAATGTGTAGCTTAGTTCATACAGTTGTGCTTTCAGTGTATGCTCAAGCTTCTGAATATACTCATATTTGCATAGTATTCCTGTAATAAAAATGCAGTTCTTACTCCATCATGAAAGTAAGATAAAATTCTATTAGCAGATGTTAAAATACAGTTTCCATTAATTCCTTTTGTTTTTTTCCTAAAAGAAACGTTAGAATTTCCTTTTCTATGTTTAGGAGCGCAAAAGAGCCCTGGAAGCAGAACGGCAGGCCCGGGTTGAGGAGCTGCTGATGAAGAGGAAAGAACAAGAAGCACGGATTGAACAGCAGAGGCAGGAGAAAGAAAAAGCACGAGAAGATGCAGCACGGGAGAGGGCCAGGTAACTTTGCAATAATTTTGTTGGTACCCTGCCCTTCATCGTTGTCTTTTCCAGCAAACTGCAGCTTCTCTATAACAACAGTACCTTCTGAGCTCTTCAGGCTTAGTATTTTAAAAAGTAGCATTAATAAATATCCATGATGAATGGTTTGAAAGAAGAAATCAGGTGAGTAATCATAAATTCTGTAATAGATGTTTGTATTCCTTAGATACATGCACAATGTAACATGCAAGGCTGTATTTTGTTGTATTAATCTTAGTTTTATTGCTAGCAATACCTTTTATATAATTTGCCTTTTTCATATTTTAGCTTACTTTTTAAAGGAAGCAAGATTAATATGCCTGTGTTCCTCCACTCTCCAGTAGCTTTTGGACTTACTGGCATCAATTTGAGTTCACCTCTTAGTAGGCACCAGAGATTGCGTTTGTGAAGCACAAAGCCGGGAAATCAGGCTTCATTAATTCTGCTGCCTTCGAACTACTTGGTTTTATGGTTTTGCCCATAATCAAAAGTTCATAAAGGGGTTTTTAATACGGGCTGTTATCTCTCTGTCTTTTGAGCCAAACATGAAATGCAGAGAGAATGAATGTTGGGTGGCGTTGTGGTGTGTGAGAAAAGTTTACTTTCAAGGCTGATTCAGGAAAACTGCTTTCTACTTATTGTTTAATTTGCTAAATTCTATTTGTATTCGCCTCCTGTTATTCCCTCTTCCCCTACAGTTCCACTGCCACAAGCATTCCATAAAACCTAAATAGATGTTACATTTTTCCTATGACAAGAAATGTTCACTAATGGTTCTTTAAACGTTTTTATTGTCACAGCTTGTTTTCTTCAAAGTTGTCATGAAGAGGTTTGTTTTTTTTTTTTCCTCCAAGTAAAATATTCAGAAATGTATCGATCACCTTCTTTCATCTTCCAAAATCACGAGTAATTCTAGCTTGACATCCTAAAGCACTTGAACTTTCAATTGGATCTTTAATGAATTGTGCTTAGGATCTGTGGCCTTGCCCAGGACTCCATGGACCTTTCCTCAATATTTTGAGCCAAAGACACAATGAGAGATAGGGTGAGTTGGAAGGGATCTTTCAGTATCTTATGCTCATTCACAGACACTTGAGAAAGATTAGGACTAACAGGAAGAATTTTGGTTATGCTCTTTTGGGGAGATAGCCACTGCATATGCAAGGCTTCTACATCTTTCTGAAATTTGAGGAAACCCTCACAGTAAGCAAATGTGAGATAATTGTCGTATTGGCATCTTTGCCTTCTTAGGTCTTCTATGGTTAGAATTTGTCTAAAGGCTCAAGGCATGTAATTCTTTGCTCTTTCTGTTTAATCAGTTTTAAATCTGCTTTCCTTTGTTGCACCCCACTTATTTCATTATGACATGTGAAGAACAGCAATTTCCATTTGCCTTCTGTTGGTACTGTGTTTCAGCAGATTTCCTCTATATTTGCTGCCATAGCACTCAGTTTTCAAATGCTTTGTATTTGATATTGCAATACCGTGCTTGCATTTGTTTTTCTTTGCCAGATGCTGATTATACAAGAGAGATTTTTTTCCTTGATAATTTTGGGAAAG